GGGTGTAGCTCTGCGCAGGGAAGTGTTCATCTCACTGATCTGGGGAGGTGAGGGCATGTCCAAAGGAGGAAAATGGAGGCAGGGAAATAGTCTGAACCTTTTGGCTGTGTGGTTTGAAAACAAACAGACTTTAAAGTAGTACCAACTGGTCCGGGAGTTGTGCAGTAGCGGAGCTAAGCGTGCTGTGCCCCTGTGCAAGCAGGGCTCGCGCCAGACGTGAGGCTGACTGTGCCGAGGCAGCAGCAGTCTGTTGCAGAAGGGTGAACGTGGGTGGGGGTGGGGAGGAACTTGCTGAAACGAGGACGGAAGCAAACCCCGACGCTCAGAACTTCAGTGCCTGTTCTGACTGATGGAACATGCTGTCGTTGTCTCTGGGGTCCTCTTCTCTCCCAAAAGCGCTGTTTGCAGAGGGTGGATGGGCCTCTGGAAAGGAGAGGTCGCTGCTGAAGATCTGAAGGTGTACTGTATGTGTGTGGTGAAAGCTTGTCTGTCATGCTAGCTGACAACAGCTGGAATACCACACTGCCTCTCCTTACACACTTGGCCTTGCTGATGTCCTTTGATCTTTCCTGCAATACTGCCACTGATAATCTGTCTCGAAGAGCACCTGCAATGGTGGTTAGCCAGATGAGCACGTCTTCTCTTTTCTCTTTATTGTTGTTTTTTTTTTACCTGAGGTACCTGATTGTTGTTGCAGTCACCTCCTCTTTTGAAGATAAAAGAGGAAGTCCTTTCTGGTCAAGGCCCTATTTCACAACTCCCCACTGAAATCAGTGTCTACCTGGAATGTGGGGGTTCCCACTGCTGAATACTGTCTCCAGAACTGCCAGTCCTCTGCTCCGCTGCCTGCTTGGACAGCTTGAATCTGTATTTTGAGTCCCGTCCTTTCCCACTTGACCTCCAGAGAAGATTTGGCCAACCTGTGCTTGTGTGTTTTCTGGCAGTTATTCCCTGCTCCATGCTTCCAGAAAGACATTCAGTAATGTCAAAGTCAGCATTTCCAGCCAATGGACTCCCTCCTGCCAAAACAGCACGGCTCCTGAGCTCCGGCCATATGAGGTAAGGACACGAGGGGTTAGCAAGTGTGAAGAAGGATGTGTCACTTCCAGTGTGCTGAGCTTGTGGTGCTGATGAGGCCCCTTGAAGTGTCCATCAATGTCACTTCTCAGAACATGAGTGGGAACTGTAGGTGTCTGAGTTGTAGTTTTCTGGATCATCAGGTGACGGTGAAATCTTTCCTAGTGGTCCCCAGAAAGAAACTTCTCAAGAAGTTACAGTGTTCCAATGGAAATGGGAACCCCAGGAGAGTCTCTGTAGTGGCCAGCAGCACGGAGGTGGAGGAGGAGGGGGAAAGAGGGAGGACCCTACCTCTGAAATGCCAAAGGCAGTAAATGAGAGCAGTTAATGGGGTTACAGAGATCTCTGCAAAACCCTGGCTGTGGCTTTCTCTGTGGCGGTGCTGCTGCTGCCACCCTGTCGAAAGGATAGCCGAAGCAGGAGAGAAGAAAGCTATCTGAAAGTGCCAGCTGCTTCTCCTAAATTGATACTGAAGAATGACGTTTTGTCTTGCATCTAAAAGGTCTGATTTTCAGAAATGCTGAACATCAAGTATCCGTTGTCTGTAGAGTCCTAGCTGCAGTGAAAGCAGTGGGAGTTTTGGCAGTGTTTGCTTGCAGAAAAGGAAGTTGTATACTGCTTGCACCTCACAAACGGGAATGCTCCCGGCTCCTACCCATAGTCCTTTTAGGGGCACGCTTGTTCTTAGCAGTGGCTCGTCCCGATGCTCTTGAGAAGTGGAAGAAATCTTGCATTAACAGCTTAGTCGCAGGCCATGAGATCAATTAGAGCAGAGAATTTCAAGTCAGTTGCTTGGGTGTTGTCTGCGTTAGAAATCATTGGCTATTTGTATGTTTGACTTAGGGATGATATACGCTGACTTTTTGTTACAAGTGAAAACAGTAAAATGGGCCCATAATGTGTTCAGGATTTTATAGTGTGGCAAAAAGGAGCGAGGATCTCGGGGGTGCTAAAATGATCTACAAGGCGTTTGGATTTAGTTCCTTAACTGACATTCAGATAACTGCTATATTTTGGAAGCTTTTTTGATCTTTTATTTTTTTTTAATATAGAGGATTTATTATTTGCTGGATGTTGAGGTGTGTGCATTTGATAACAAAAGGACCATTTTGCCCATTTTTTTATCAGTTTAGGTTATGTCAGTTAACAGTAAAGTGCATTTTGGGAAATTGATAGAACAGATTAACGACATGAACAGACAAGTCGTGCTATCAGTTTGGAACTTTGGTATATATTTTTAACTGCAGTTGTTCTTTGTTTTTATACTTTAAAATATTTTTTAAAGTATAAAAATGTTTTGCGAGGAGTCCCTAGTATGATTTTGTTAAAGGACAGCTTAGAGCTGTACTTTTCAGCCTTTGAAGATTTGTGAGTCCTGCAGAGGTTGCTTAATGAATTTAAGCCTAATGACAAAAGATTTGATTCACTTATCTTTCTAAAACTTGTAATAGCTTGAGGACCTCCAAGGATCTCTGATTAAAAGTTGAAAGCTACTGTTGTAAGTAGATACTGGTGGCCTCAAGTGGCAAAAAGTATTTTTCAAGGGATTTATCAGTTTTTTTCGACGCATGAGACTTAAGCAGAAGCTGTGTTGATAGGCCTTACCAATGTTACATCTCTTGTGCTAGGTGGATGTGTAGTTAGTGTTGTCTGTACAGGATGTTCTCCTGGAGAGGCAGAATCAAACTAAAAATGGTGATATTTGAGTTACATGCATCCATAGGTCAGGCTTGGATTGGGTTGGTTTGTTTGTTTTTCTCGTGGGGGCATGGTGAGGAGGGAAGAAAACTTTGTGCTGATTAACTGTATTCATTCTTCCAAGTCATCCTCAAAGCTTGCTGTTTTCAGCTGGTGTCACTAATCTTAGTCTGGGGACAATTGAGTCTTCTTCCATTTTTTTTGGTCATATTGAAAATAAAATGAAACTGAAGTTAAGCACAAAACATAACATTAGTGACTGGAGTTCATTGTAAGTAGTTTCCAGCCAGTCTGTTTCTTCCCCTTGTTCCTTTTGTGTTCTTTCTTTTCTGTTTGTGCTCTGTCATTTCTTATTATGATTGCTGCCACAGATACTTGAAGGGAATTATTCATTTAGTGAAGACAGCAAGATAAGTACAGAAGAGACACTGCACATAAAACAGAATATGCCTTTGTTGTATTATTCATTAAGATGCTCATCAGTGTTTCTATGTAAGAAGCTGTCTAACAGTTGCATGCCTGTTAGGAGTAGGGTTTGTTTTGCCAGTCATTTGCCTTGATCCAGGTGGAACGAACATTTCTCACTTGTGCTTTGCTAGGTTGCCCTTTAGAAGTGAAATGAAGTGGCAGTGGGCATTTTCGGCAGTCAATAGTGCCAGAATTGTTCTTGATTTGATAATTAAAGTTTTGGAGGAATGGGAGGCTGCTGGGGCCAGATGCTGTTCTACTTTAGAGGTGGAGTTCCTGTCGAAAAAGAGTAATGAGCTGTGCCTCTCCCTGTTTACCTGTTGTAATTTTCTCTCTGTAGCTCTGGAACAGCAACCATTTATTTCCAAATGCAGAAGAAGCAACTCTCTTCTTGGGGACATTGGACACTATCTTTTTGTTTTCCTATGCTGTGGTGAGTAAAACTAAACCAAGCTGCTAAGCTCTGGTTGAATCCTACGGGGATGATCACATCCACGTTTGGAGGGGATGAACAGGATGATCTTCTTGGACTTGCCTCGCACTATTGCAGTTAAAAAGCTTAGTTCAGGAGCAGAACTTTTTCCTTCAATTTCTGTTAGTCCCCCGTGTAAAGATGGTTGTTAACAAATGCAAGAGAAATACTGTCACTTCAGAATTTCTCACACCCCTGTCACCAGTGTGTGGGGGGGCAAGTTCCAGCTTCCGAGAGTTCTCTGTGAAATTTTTTAAAATAAGAAATTTAATGAACACCTCAATTGAGTGGGGTTTGTTTGGTGGCAGAAGAGGTGGTTAGAATCAAACTCTAAGTTCGTATAACAGCAACATTTGCATCAGCTTGACCCTTGTACATGATTTTAATTCTTGCAGATCACAAATCTTGTGGCTTTATTTAATGCTGTGTTTTCTTCTTAGGGTCTCTTTGTCAGTGGCATAGTTGGAGATCGCCTGAATTTACGCTGGGTTTTGTCTTTTGGCATGTGTTCCTCTGCTCTGGTGGTAAGTCAGAACATACTAGCGTGATTTAGAAATCTCTCTTAGTATTTCTGGATAGGGTTTTACTTTAGGGGAGAAGCAGCTCTGTAGCTGTACCTCAGTGATCTCAAAGTCTGTGTGTAAAGCTTTGTCCTGGATGCACTTACTGCATTGTCTCAAGCAGAGAGTTACGTTAGATGACTCATCTCTTCCTGAAATATCCATTTATGGATACTGTGTCAGAAGGAAATTCCTAAGTTTGAGGCACTGTGTAGAGACTTGATGAACAGCTTTTGTACGAGATTGGTGTATCGGGACTTTTTGGGACTGTTTTGTATTATAACTGTTCTCCCAGCCCATATATGTTGTCATCAAAGCTTTTGCTTCTAAATGCAATCTTTCCTCTCTTCTTAAGGACACGCTAACAATACTAAGCATTCATTTACTTATTTTGTAATTGCTGGAAGGGCATGTGTCAGAAAAGAACTGTCTGCTTAAAACAAAAGGGTTCTTCAGGCTCAAGCCACTGCAGATAACTGTGAATCAGTCTTATCTCATTGTGGTTTTCTGGTTATTGAAGTAGTGGTAAAATGTGTGGAGTGCTTTGATTTGCCCAGTGGCTACAAACCCCCTATGGCCTATTGCCTTCTGCAAACACGCGACCACAAGCAGGCGTCAAGCACAGAGTGCCACAAAGTATGTTTGTTTTGGCTAGTTTGGGTTAGGGCTCTTAGTAATTTGAGACCAGACTGTAGTATTTATGTTAACTTTTGCTAAGATAAATGACTGCTGAGGGTTTTGTCTTTGCATAGAGCCTTGTGGATTCGGATGTCAGTAAGATAGCAGATCAAGAGGCTACTGTATTTTTAGCGTTGTTACTGAAAGCATTTGTCTCTCTCATCTCCTCTCCTGTTATAACTGTGCTGTTTACGAAGATAAAAGTCTTCTGGAGTGGAAGTGCGGTGGCAGCACGTTTGTCTCCGGAGTCGTTTGGGCTCTGGAGTCTGTGCTGTGGTGGCTCAGCAGAGGGTGCTGTCAGCTCCCCGCTCTCCTTAAACGGTGCCAGGCCTGCCTCTGGCCTGGCCCCTGGGGGGGACCTTCTCCCTGAAATGTCATTCCTTTTTTTAGGAACCCGCTCTCAACTTTCAGCAGTAGCCTTAGGGTTTCTTCTCTGTGTTTTTAGTTTCAGTTATTTTTTTTCACCCCCTGCTTTCTAGGTATTCTTCTTTGGCACACTCACAGAATGGTCCCATTTCTACAACAAGTGGTTCTACTGCTGTCTCTGGGTTGTGAACGGTTTGCTGCAGTCCACTGGTTGGCCCTGTGTGGTTGCTGTCATGGGTAATTGGTTTGGAAAAGCTGGGTAAGTTGAGTTTTCTTCAGTGACTCACTTGTGTGACCTGCTGAGTAGCAGGTTGAGCTGAAAGTCCCAAACCGAAAAGGCCAACTGTTAGGTCAGAATTAAAGTTAGTTATTTGGGATTAAATTTTGTTTTTTTTTCCCTTTTTTTTTTTTTTTTTTTTTTTTTTTTTCCGGAGCCACAGAACAGTTTGGTGTGAATACAGTTGTGTGTGTCAAAAGCACAGGTTCAAAATTCCAAAGTACCTTAGTGCAGAGTGACTGAATCTGGATTTTCGTGCCACTGGAAAACCTGTTTCTGTCTACTTAGCACTGAAGGGACCGAATGGAAACTGACTCGTTGTAGGTTCAACTTTGTCGCTTTGGGGTATTGCAGATGAGGGCTAGCCGTAGCTTATTAACCCTGTAGTTGCCAGCTCACCTCTGTTGTAGCACAGGTGTTTCAGGATAGAACATTCCTTGCTTATCTGTTTGGCACCTCCAATTTATTCTGTGCTTAAACTGACCTTTGAGTGTCTTTGAAGTGGACTGGGAGAGTGCTCTAACTTTACCCATAAATTAAAGTTCACTGACATGTTACATCTTTGTCACCTCTCCCTGCATCGCCTTTTTCAAATTTTCTTCCCGTTCTGCAGGAGAGGTTTTGTGTTTGGACTCTGGAGTGCTTGTGCATCTGTGGGAAATATCCTCGGGGCGTTCCTTGCCTCCTGTGTTCTCAAATATGGCTATGAGGTAGGCATTGCTGTCTGGCTTCTAGCTGGGACTGCATGTCTGAGTGGGTTATGCGAGACTAGTTTCTTATCCTGTCTCTGAGAGATAACAGGCTTGGAGTGTCCTGTTTCATCTTCCTGAATTCTGTGGCAGGAAATAGTAGGCAGAATAGAAAGGGTATTCCTTTCCTGACCCTTCCAAGTTGGGAAAAATGAGCCTGAGACTTCTCTGTAAATGGGGCTGATGTTATAGAGGAGCCCTAGTGTCATAGTATACCCTCTTCTGACTTGGGTGGCTTAAGGTGCTCTTCAGAGTCGTGCATCACAGCTTGTCACTCAACTGAGGTCAGTGCTGCTGAGTGGTGGTGAGGTTCTGACAGGCATGGGGGCATAGCTTCTGTAACTGGGAAGAGGCCAGGCACGCGCTGCGTCGCTGTGATGCGACAGGCAGGCAACTGAATACAGGGAATGTAAGTGAACCAGCGCATCTTGCAGTGCGTGACCTGTGAGGATGGGCTAACAGAGCTGAGCTTGTCACTCTGGAGAGAGCTAAAATGCAGTGGGTATAAAGTGAAGCAGGGGCGGTTCCAACTGGGTGCTTGGAAAACTATTCCACTGTGAAGTTAGTTAAGCGTTGGAACAAGGAGCCGGAGCCTGGAGGATCTGTCTCTGGAGGATTTCAAGACCTAAATGAACAAAGCCCTGAGCAACCTGGTCTGAATTTGCTTTGAGCAATCCCTTCCAGTGTAGCTGGATCTGTGGTTGTGTTGGGTAAGCTCCTTCCTGCCTGCTGTCACCTCGGTACGCTAAACCAGCTGTTTGTGTGGCCTTGCAGCCTAGAGAGAACCGAGACTGTTCAGGGGGTGCAGAGATCGCTTGTTTCAGAGTTTTTTGGAAGTAGTCTGAGTTGTAGCTGTGTTTACTGTCTGACAAGGCTGGAATGTAAAGAAACCCTGTTAGTCAGGGAAGCCTGTGTGACTGAAAGTGTTTTAAAAAATGATCTTTTGTTTTTTTATCTTCAGTATGCTTTCTTGGTGACTGCCTCAGTACAGTTTGCTGGAGGAGTCATTGTCTTCTTTGGGCTCCTGACATCACCGAAGGAAGTGGGTGAGTAGAAGAGGGCTGCAGCATTTCAGTACCTTCATGGAAAGCAGAGCTGCAGCTTTCCATGTGGTACTAAAAGTACTGCTCCTTCTGACAGCGCTTACCCTCAGTGCTCTTACAAAATGGTGTTGCATTTCTGAGTATTTAATGAAGCAAGTGCTTTTCTCGCAAAGATCACACTAAATGCCACCGTGCATCATGTGTGTAAGGTCTGGATATCTTGGAGCTAGGCTGTTTCATTTTGCTTTTTGACGTCTCCACTAGTATGTGCCTAATTATCAGTTTTTCTTCACCTGGAAAATCGGTATTTTTTTAACGAAACAGTAGGCAAACTGGTAACTGGCTATTGTAGGAGAGAACTATGGCGAGCCTTAACTGTGCAGTGGGAAAGGAAAGTACTTTTCCTCTGCAGGTCCCCCGCAGCCAGTTAAATAGCTCTCACGTTGGATATGGTCCTTCTCTGAGAAGATGGTAGGCAAGCCAAAGTGTGACAGGAAAACAAAAGAAGCTTTGGGCTTTTACAGGACCATGGGAGAGGTTTCCCAGGTGCCTGCAAAGGCTGTAAAGGTGGTAGCACTAGAGCTACCATAAAGAGTGCTCGTAAGAGCACTCAGCGGCCCAGGAAGCGCAGCGCAGTTCCTAGGGTTTCCATTCCAGCGGAGGCGTAAACAGGCAGCAGCTCTCGGAGTAGCTGCTGGTACACTCGGCCCCCACGCTCAGTGGTACCCGAGAGCCAGATCTGAGGATCACAACCACTAAATAAGGGGGGAAATGCACTAATGTGTTGTGTCTTCCAACTAATGGCCAGACACTCAGAACAGACAAAGCCGATGCCAGAATACTTTCAAGAGCGCTAGAAGACAAAGGGTAGAAACTGGCAACACTGCAGAATACCAAGAGTTTCTAAGCCAAAGGAGGGTGGAGGTATGGGAGAGCAAGGGAATTGCTAGAAGGGAGAATTGCTTAAAAGAAGCGAGCATAGCTTTAGAGTGGGGAGAGGGCGAACAGGCTATGGTCCGTGTTTTCCTGTTGCATGTCCCTTGTAAAACGTAGGCCTCCCTGAGCTTGGAGCAGGTGAAGACAGCAGCGTGGAGGAAGATGCCAACAGACCTTTAATGGACGATGATGATGCAGATGATGATGACCGGAATTACTCTATTCAAGCAACTGACACTGACAACCAGCCAAAAGCCATTGGCTTTATCCAGGCTTGTTGCCTTCCGGGAGTAGTACTGGTGAGGACACAGATTCTTGAGTGAGATCTGACTTATGCTGTTAAATGTGAAGCTGACTTTTTGTGTTGTCAGCATTTGTTGACATCGTTGCTAATATGTTGACCATGTGTTGTAGTTGTTGACAGGTGACTTCTTACGCTGTTAAAACCTTGGGGTTGGGACTGCTACGCTTGTGCTTGTGCTCGTGGATTATAATACTGTCCGGGTACGTGGTTGCATGTTGCTCTTCCCGTTGGGCTCCTGCATTTAGTGCCTGTAATGAGCCAGCTACGGGCAGCAGCGACCCTGCCCTTTTTGCTGCTGAATTGAGAAGGGAGGCCATGAGCAAAGGTGGTTATAGGGTGGTTTCTTGTTAAGGTAGCTACTCTGCCCTGAGGAACGAGATTCTTGCTGTTAGCTGAGCATCACACAGAACTCTGTGGCACTGATATTGAGGTTTGGGTTTTTTGGTTTTTTTTTTAGTTGCATTAAAGCAGAAAGCTGGCCTGAAAAGCCTTAATCAGCATGATGTAACATGTGGTAAAGTGGGTGGGTTTTTTTATAAACAACGGGAAACAAGGCCTGGTGATGCAGTTTCTGCATATCCTCATCCTGTCCCTTGCGTGAGAACTTGTGCTTCTGTGTCAGCAGTATTGCCCAATTCATGTATTTTGTTCAGCTGAAAAACTAACCTGCCACTAAAAAACAATGTTAACTTTCTGTGTCAGTGGGCGGTGTACCCCCGGAATAGTAGAAGCAGTACAAGAAAGGGGGCAGGGTGGCTGGCTCAGTAGTACGGTGTGAACTGTCTGGGTTTGATCATGAAGCAGAACTACAGACTGGAGAGCGTTGTCAGATGTCCTCAGTGAGTAAAGCAGTTGGTTGTTGTGATTAAGGCAATGCAAAATCTAGAAGGGATGGGTGGACTGTCAACGTTTAGTGTGCTGGACAACCACAGTTCTGTTGTTAAGACCTCGGATGAGGGATGGCAAAAGAAACCGTACCCATCTTGAATTCTTTCCTAACATGGCTAAATGCTGTATAAACTATGGCTCAGTTTTGGTTGTGCTGAGAATAGGCTAATGTACAAAGAACCTTCAGGCAAGATTTCTTAGTGATAGAGGCTGCCTCAGTTGATGTGCGACTTATTTTCATTGTCCAGAACATAAGGAGGTGCTGGACAGCTGACGTTGCTGTTTCGATACTTGGGATTTTGAGGACGTGTTCTGTGCGTTAACCCAACAACGTGAACGCCTCTGAGACTGAGAATTTTGTCTGATGTCAGATCAGTGCCCAGCCAAACCAGGACACTGTGTCAGATCAGTGAGAGACTGAACACCGAGAGAACCTCCAAAGCCTTGTCAAGATCCTACAAAGGCTTTCTTTGACATATATTTTTTTGTAGTTCCTCTCTTCTCCTGCTGAGTGATACGGTGAAAGAGTTTTAGTACAGACAGCTTTCCCCTGAGCCTCTAGAAATTCAGTGTTTAATCACTCAGACAATCTGGTAGACAGTTTCGAAGTGTGTTGTAATAAAAATCGCTTCGTACAGTACACTCTTCACACCCAGTGACAGGAGAACTCTACCAAACATCCCTGTGTTTTAAACGTATGATGGGGATTAGTTTGTGTCCTGTAAGAGTGGAAAAGTATTAATAATACAGCTAAAAAGGATATATCTGTTAAAATAACATAAATTCAGAAGAGGTAATTTTGTGGAGTTTAACATATAAAAAGATCTTTTTGAAATTCAAAGACAAGTGTGTACATACACATACAGTCTCAAAAGCTGTGACCCTTAACAGGTGGTTTTTTCCACCTTCATCCAGGTTTACCCCTACAAGTAAGGGTTCCCTGAACTGCTAGCTGTGACCCTTAACAGGTGGTTTTTTCCGCCTTCATCCTGGTTTACCCCTTCAAGTAAGGGTTCCCTGAACTGCCGTGTCAGTGCTTATCAGGGGGCCTTACTGACATAGTGTGCCTCGTCCCTCTGTGCTAGGCCAGCAATCCCAGAGAAAAAAATCTTTGCTGCACACGCGAGAGCTCTAAAGAAGGAGATTTGCTGGCTAGACAGAATTTAAGCCCAGCAGCCAAAAGCAGGAGGTTGTCTCAGCTGTTGGGTTTGGAAGCCTGTGCTTCGCTTTCCCAAACCTTTCATCTTGTGTCCTGGAATACCTGCCTGGGGTTTGTGAGCGAAGCTTTCTCTTCTGGTGCTGTGAGCCCATGAGCCTTCCGAGCAGCAAAAGATAGCGCAGAGGAACTACTTCACCTAACTTTTCTCAGCGTGATGCACAGGTGACTAAATCTCAAGTTTGTTTCATGTCACATGGCTGGCTCCTTTCTGTTCAGAAGGTGAATTAAATTTCCTTCATTTTTTGAAGCCTGGTGTCGTTTCCTCTCAGGATTATACTGAAAGTGTTTTAACCCGTTGCATTCAGTGAAAAGAAAATAACCTTCTTGACGGTGATTTTTGTATTCTTGGCTTCACTTTGATGTTCAGCATTAAGCTCTCATAATGCTGCCTTCTCACATGAAAAGCAGAAGCACTCGCCCCTGAAAGCTTTAGCTGGACACAGAGCTTGATGGGAAGAAGCAGAAATGCTGTTTGCTTTTCTCAAGTGGTAACTGCTTGCTGGTCCTCTCTTTGTTCCAGTACTCTTTGGCCTACGCCTGCTTGAAACTGGTGAATTACTCCTTCTTCTTCTGGCTGCCCTTCTACCTCAGCAACAACTTTGGATGGAAAGAAGCAGAAGCTGACCAGCTCTCTATCTGGTATGATGTGGGAGGAATCATAGGTGAGTGAGCAAGTGAATGACATCTTCCTGCAGCTGCCCTTCTAGCGTTTGAAAACGCGAGACAGCAAATGCAGCTCAGAGCAGTCATGTTCAATGGGATCTAGCTGTTTAATGGATATATGAAAAGTCTAGTTATGTATGTGGCTGCTTGGCTGGTTTTTTTTCTAAAACACAGAGTATGTGAGCCCCCTAAAGAGTTTCCATATAATTTAAAGGGCAGTATCGTAATCTTGGACGTTACCCCCAGCAGGCATTTTTCTTTACTCACTAGGGCTTCTTGAAAAGTGCTGTGTACAAAATGGTGTCCGTGCTGCTTGCTGCTTCCTTTCTGACAGGTACCCTTGAGGGGGAGTTTAGATCTGGACTTAGAGCATTCTGTAGCGTCCCTTCTGTCCTGTATTTTTAAGAGCAGACTCGGCACAGATCTCAGCAGAGCAGACACAACTGTGCTATGTTCAGAAATAAAATATAATTGCACTTGTGTCTGCTGGCTGCAAAATCTGACCCTGTTCCTCCAGAATAAAGAACATATTGTATATGTGTTTAGACTTCCACTCTCCTGTACTCAGTTTCTTGCTTTATTACCTTGTCCAGTTAGCTTTCCTAGAATAGATATCCTTGTTTTTGGTCTATTCAGGGTCAGGTTTTTTGCCTCTGTGGCCTTTGCTGTGTTAGGTTTTCTCAACAGTCTAGGTTTTACCAGCAGAGCAGTTCCTGCAGAGGTAGCAATGATACACAAGGTGATTTTTATCAGCTATCGGCATTTGTTGCTATTAGTTGCACCTACCCTAAGTAGGTGAGACAGCAGGGAATGTGAGGCCCCTGTGTGCTAACGCTTTCCCTGTGGAAAAACAACGGCCTTTTACTGCACTCTCTGTTACAGAAACCATCCACAATGTTAAGCTTACATCCAGAGTTGTGGTGATCCTAGAGCTGTGATGGTCCTGTAGGGGAAGGAGAAGGAAAGCAGGAGCACTGGCTAGTTGTGTGCCAGAAAAAAAGTAGTAAATTCCTGGGAAAGCAGTATGAGTAGTTTTCCCTGCTCTGAGCCACTTAAGTTTACTGTCTGGGTCTGGGGCAGTAAGGGCAGGAGACTTAGTTTTCAGGATTTTGGAGAGAACACGTATTGATGAGAAGGCAAGAGGCCACTGCACTCAGTGAAAGGAGTTTTGTTCAAGGTGTTAGCATCCTGAGCCTGACAATGATTTATTTCTTTGCAGGTGGGACTATCCAGGGCTTGATTTCTGATGTGCTGCAGAAGAGAGCCCCAGTGCTAGCGATTAGCCTGCTCTTTGCTGTAGGCTCTCTTTTTGGATACAGCCGTGAGTATGCTTTTGCTGCGCAGCGATAAGAGGTTCATTCGGTACGCCTGAGAGAGAACCAGAGCACAGCCTGTTCTAATTATGTTTTCTGGTCTTGAAACTGCTTCTGGAGCAGGGTGGTGCCTTTTGGTCGGCTTTGCCTGAAGCACTGCACAGAAAGAAATCTGCTCTCTGGTTAATGAGGTGGAAAAGAATTAGCTGAGTGGTTGGGTTTCCCTGTACTGGTGAGCTGTGGTACTGATTCTTCTCCAGTGTCAGTGAGACTTCTGGCATTGTCATCCTGTCGTCACCGCAGCTGGCAGAGCAGGAAGTCGCAGATACATCACTCTAGCAAAAGGAAAGAGAACCTGGGGACAGATCTGTGCTGGAGTACATATACACTACAAAGGGGGAGAAGCTCTTAAACTTCCCCACTTAACGCTTCTGTAAGAGGTGAAACTGAAGCGTTTCTGGCTCTCTTATAACGCATGTAGTTCTCAGTGATCAGTTATTGAAAGGAGTCTGTCAGGAAACCGGAGTGGGAGACGACAGGCAGGGCTCACTTCTGATGAGAGCTTCCTAACGAAGATCTTCCGAGGTTCACAGTTTTAAGTCTTCAGACATGGTGTCCTGTGGTACCAGGGTGCTTTAACTCACTGGGATGCTGTTTCACTTCTGTGTCTTCCTGCAGAATGGGGTGGTGACACAGACTGGCTTTTATAGAGCACTTGGAGATCTGTGGACAGAAATAGCTGCCAGAGCGGGACACAAACACTAAAGTGTGCCTTTCAGAAGCATGCTGGCTTACTTGGGTGGTCTAAGGGTTGATAAGGCGTAATCATTAAATAGCTAGGATTGGGTTTGGTGTAGTTTGATGGAGTTTTGTAGGCTCTTGTGCTAACTCGTTACTTTCAAAAGTGAATTGGAAGCAGATATAAAATTATTGCTGACTAAGTTTGAAGTTGCTCTGTATAGCAGAGCAGCCAGAGGTCTCAGTGTCTTGTGCTTAGCTCTATCCAGCCAGATACAGAAGGTTCAGACAGGTGATACAAAGTTGCTGCATTGTGATAATTAAATTCCCATCAGCCAAACCAGGAGACCTTTTCATGCTCATAGTGTGTTACACGTGAGAGTAACAATGGCCTGAGAAGATGTGGAGAGGGCTGCAGCTTGCCTTACGCGTGGTAACTTGACCGTGCGTGGGCCCTAAGTTGAAGCAGTTGGTAAGGAATTCAGGTGATGCCTGGAAGTGAGGTATCGGGGGAAACAGTGTCTGAAAAGCACCGAGAGACTGCAGTGGAAAGCCAGCTGCGTGTACACACTATGATGCTGTTCCTGGAAAGGCAAGCAGAGCACGTAGATACCCAAGCATGGCTTTGTAAGCAGGAGTGAGGATATGGTGTTTTACATGTTTTACTTTGTTGTTCAGCATTGTTTAGGCAGTTGCTGGATTACTGCCTCCAGATCTAGGAGGATCTCTGTATCTTAGAAAAGGTTTTGGACAATTCAGAACAAGGGTGATTCACTTGCTGAATACTTTGTGGTGGGAGAGACTGAGTTGTCTAACTTCCCCAGAGAGACAGAAGGAGGATTCTCTTACTACTCAAATGGACTTTCAAGGAGGGTAAACGCAAACTTTGTGTCGTAGAAGGAGGCCTAACAAGAGCTGGAACCCAGAGCCGGGCAAATCTGGTATTGAAATAGGGCATGAAATTTTAATGGTAAAGGTGACTTTGCTGCTGTAAAGTGCTGTTGGGGAAAATTCTGGGTCTTTAGAATGTAAATGACTTTGCTGTAAGATTAATCTCTGTAGAAGTCTCTGGTCAAATAGGAGTGTAGGTAATTGAACAGGCAGTTCAGACTGGATGTTTGCATGCTTTTTTCTGATCCTAAATAAGTGGCTTTCTCAAGTTCATTTGTTATAGTCACACTCATCTGGTCTTTCTCTTGCAGGTTCTCCAAACAGCAAACCTGTTAATGCTCTGATCATGACCATTACAGGTATCTTATCAAATGCCACTGTTATACTAGTAGACATATATAATACATTGCGGAAAAGTCAGTAACACCAGCCTCAAGTGGTGTTAATGCATTTGTGTACGCTGCCATTTCTGCTGGTTTTGCAGAAAGAGCAAAAGCTGGGGCCCCGCTTCTGTTACTTTTGGAGTACAGCTGTAGGAAAACTGCCTTACAGAGGGAGGTATGGAATAGAGACTGTATAGAACAACGGCTTGCAACTAAAGGGATCTGCCTTGGCTCGCTATGATGAGGATGGAGCTGTGCCAAAATACCTAGCAGTGATCTGGTATCTGAGGAGGTGTATATATGGCAAAGTCATGAGCTGCAGCTCAAATCTGAGGGTGTTCATCTGTCACAACCCCAAATGCCCTGTGTACTGTGAGAGGTCGCAAGCTTTGTGTGCTACCAGACATACTGTGCTGTGTTAGAGAATTAAGATTAGCCTGCGTGAATGGAGCCTTTCTTTTCAAACACTCCTACTTCAGAACTCTCTGTCCTGTTGTGTTTTTTTTCCCCTTCTGTCTCCTTACCAATCCCTGGAGGCTGAGCATTGGGGTGTACTACTCCAAAGTAGAAATGTGTCTAAATCTGCTTCAGGTTGAGGGTTTGTATATGTATGCTGTTCAAAGCAGCTTTCTGTATTCAGTTCGGTGTGTCCTGGCTCTTCTTGCAGAGTGTGCCAAACCTAATTACCTCATTTTTACTTTTGGATGAAAACGTGCTTGTTGGCAATTTCTGTGTGCGTATTCCAGGTACCCAAAGTGTGCCCTGACCGTATACTTCAGCTGTGAGGGTGCACTTCTACCTACAGTTACTCTGTGATCGCTGTCCCTGGATGTAATCCTTTTCCTGAGCTTTGCGTGGTAGAAAATCTGTGTTTTGAAGATGTTCTGTTGAGAATCTATCCTCATGCTTGTTTTGCACCGAGGCTGTTTTCTTGGCACTTCCAGGATTTTTCATCGGAGGCCCTTCTAACATGATCAGTTCTGCAATTTCTGCTGACCTGGGGTGCCAGGACCTGGTGAGAGGCAGCAGCGAGGCTCTGGCAACTGTCACGGGAATTGTGGATGGAACGGGCAGTATTGGTGCTGCCGTGGGCCAGGTGAGTCTGCCAAAGGAACATAGAGGTCTGGGGGGGAGGCACAGAGTCTGCTGTGGTTGGAGGTGTTAGCTCATTCCTCAACCTAAAGCTGCATGGAGAGAGAGAGGGTTGTGGTTTTTTTCTAAAAAAAGTTATTTATTTATTTAAGAAACAACCATGGGAACATGTGCTTTAAGCTTCTGGTGGAAGCAATTTAATTAAGAACTAAACTAAGTATTTGTATTGCTAATACTATGGCGCTTTCATAACTCAAAATGAATTTTAGAGACTTTCATATCCTGAACTCCAAAAAAGCAAGTAAAGGTCAACTTCACAAAGAGTGAAAATAAAATATGTGGAAGTTTGTTTGGGACTTTTTGTTCAAAGGTGACAGCAAAACCTGTGCTCACAGAAAAGTTTACCTGTATAACTGAGCAAAAAACCCATTATGAATGTTCCAGTACTTATAAAGTAATTGAAAATCTGCTCTTACTTGTGGCTCCCCTTTTTATCTCTGGATGTCTCTTGCACCTTGTAAATCCAGCCCCAGTTGCTTTGATAGCCCTTACAGTATGCTGCCAGAGGCCTGAAGACTACACTGTTGCAGAAAAGGAAGCTGACAGTGTGCCTACTGGGGACATTCTTTCTTCTCAAACACAAACATTAACTATATGGAAGAACACAGTGGTGCTTTGGGCGGGGGGGGATTTAATAGAAAGATCAGAGCCAGTTCTATTCCAGGCATCCTCTAGTGCTGGTAAAATACCAAGGATGCAGGAGACGCATACAAGTTTCTTTTCTGGAAAGGGGTTTGGGTTTGCACTTGCCATTAATTGCCTGATAAACACAATCGTTCTGTCGAACGACTTCATCTGGAAAGATGCCACTTAGCTCCATTAAACATGGAAAATTACAAGTGCTCTGTGGACATCTTAAAGTGCATTGTTACATTCAGTGTTCTTCTTGCATTGTTTACAGTGTTTCTGTCTTCCCCCACACATACCATGCAAACTGACGTCATCATAAAAATTGGGTCTTTAGTTCTGAAAAATTCCACCTGGCTCCCATTCTAACGTTGCATTTATTTCAACAGAGACAACGATGATGTCATTCTGGGGGTGTGTGTGAATAACAGCAAAAGCACAATGAACACGTTACCACAAAACAGGATCTGAATTTCTAATACACCCAGTAGCGAAGAAGGGAGGCCCTTGTACAGCATCTGAATATAAATCTGCTAACAGGGAATACATTTTCTGTTGTGGCCCCCGCAGTCCTCTTGAACTAGGAGGCAGTTGGGAGCAGACTGCAGTCTCGAGTGCCTTGCCTACGAGGAAGGGTTAAGTAGCTGGTGGTTGCGCAGCTCTTGAGGATGCGTCCTGTGTAATTTATAAGCCATTCTAGAGCTTTTAGTTCTTCTGAGAGTACTTACATCCACTTAGGTCCCAGTGTTCCATGCACAAACCTGGCATTCGGCGGAGTCAATCTGTCACGGTTTGAAACTGTAGTTCAGTTCTGTCTTTGTGCTGCTGTGAGTTACTGTGAGGCTTCAGGACGGTCTCTCCGCTTTGCTGTGTCTGTGGGTTTTATACAGAAAGGCTGCTGTCCGGAGTCATCTCTTCTGACAGGAAAAGATCAGCTGGAAGGTTTTTATGATCAGCTCTGTATGGAGTGTTAACAGCCCACAAATTCTAGAAAATGAAAGAGTAATGCCTGAAAGTGATACTTGTCGTCCCGGTTTGAATAATTTTTTTTTTCCCCTGTCTTTTTAGTATCTAGTGTCTTTGATCCAAGAGAACCTGGGATGGATGTGGGTTTTCTATTTCTTTATTCTAATGGTAGGTAATCTCCTTTTTTAAAAACTCTTTGTCAAAGTTCAATTTGCAATAGGAAGTTGTTGTGAAAACCTGAAAACTGTGACTTAGACATGCAGTCTGTTTCTGTGGCAGCTGCAAACTCTGATGCCCTTCTCAAAGGGGTCTGTGGTGTGCCTTTGCCTCAGGGTGTCTAAATCAGCTGGGTTCATTTTGGATCCTTTAAAGTCATGTTGGTCAACAGGAACTGAGACTGTGACAGAGGCACAAAATTACTGGCCTTAAAAATACCTGTGTGCGTTTCCTAAAGCTCGTCCCGCCTGACTGACTGCCAAGGCAGGACTTTTTCCTCCCTCATCTCCATGATACGTAGTTCCTAATGTCTTCAGGGAGCTGAAGTTAAGCTGCTGTTTGTGAGCCCTTGAAGATTAGTGGAAGGAGCGATGAGAGTCTTGAAACTACAATGAAAATGCCTTACTCTGGTATGCCAGTGGGGGAGAAGATCTCCTCAGCGTTGCCACGGTGGTGAACGCTGTACAATTCACCCGTTCTTCCCTGCTGGAAGTGCCAGGAATTGTCTTTGCATCTGTGCTGACAAGGGAAAAGGCCACTTTGGTAAGCAGCGGAGGTGGCCAGGAGGAAGGCTGTTGAGGAGGTGAAGAGCTCATCCTCTTTAGGAAGAGAAGATCATGGCAGCTGGAATGGTATGAGCTTTCCTGGAAGCTCAGTCCTTACAGCTGCTGTGCCACTTTGTCATCGCCTTCTCTCCCCGGCTGCTGGGGAGGCCTGGAACGCACGTTGGAGCGCAGGGTGGCTGCGGCCGTGGTCGCCATGTGCTGATTGTCCTGGACATGCTTCTTTTCGCAGACGAGTTCAACAATCCTGTTCATTTCACCGTTAATAGCGAGGGAGATCAGACTGCTCCTGCGTGAGCGGCGCCTGCGAGTGCTGGCCGAGTGACTCCTGCTTGCCTCGGGAAGGACCGTGGGGTGGAACTGACAGCTGGGACACCTATCAAAACTTCAGGAGACTTGTTCCTTACATCCTCCAGGTTTGGACTTGTTCAAAACGGCTCTGCAAGACTTGATTGACCTGCCTTTGCGAGCTCAGTAGCGAAGTATGAAGTACCTGTCCTGAGACTGCCCGCATCATGGAGCTGCTGACCGAAGCCAGACAATCCGTGGGACCGGGGGATTGTCCCGGCCTACCTGACGCTTCCGTGTCAGCAGTCACGCCAGCGTCTCGTGTTGGGTGCTCTCACTGCTATACCCTTTCTTATTTATTTCTGGGTGTCCTGACAAAAGGTGGACTGTTTAAAACTGACAGTGGAGAGGCTGTCTTGCAGTGAATTTTGATGCTCCGTTGTGTCGGTGAAATCGTACAGTGCATTTCATGAGTATTCTAAATTTGCCACCACTTTAGCTTTTAGAAAGGGCAAAAATAATTATTTGGAATTTGCGCTGTCCAGCTGTTTAAAAAATGCTGTGGCTAAATCTCTGCACAGATGGACCTCTGCTATCCCTAGTTGTTAACTGTCACAATATTCCAGTAGGTTGACGTGGAGAAGTTGCCTCCACATTTGTTTTTAGCATTTTTTAATAATAATAATATTGCTAACGTCTGGGAAATTAGATTTCAGGTTTTAACTATTTAAGCGGACAAATAGTGTGCAATACTTTATTGTGATCTCTGAGAATAAGCCTTAATAGATCCTTTGTGTCTAAAGGATCCTTGAATGGCTTCGGGGATCAGTAACGGGACACAAATACTTTCACTACAGCTTTGTTATTTGAGCTCTGATTGATACTGACCAAAATGGGGCTGTCGGGTGACCCTCGAAGGAAGCTGGTGTCACTGGGCAACTGCTCATCTCCAGCAGAGGAGAACCAGAACAGAATTGAAGGAATTTAAGGGACCTGGCGGCTCGGACGTGGGTTTCCAGGCAGGGACTGGGGCGTACTCACGGAGCAGCATCAGTGAGCAAGCGCTGCTCCTCCCCGATACGGCTGCGTAGGGGACCTCAGGCTCCAGGGTGCTAAAGCTTGAGCTGTGTCTTGAAGAGAAAGGTAGATGCGAGTCAGCACTAAAAACGTGTGACTGCACTTAGTGCGGTGGTATCTGAGTACTTTGCAGGACTGCGGTGAGCAGGGTGACCGACTGGCGCCGCTAACGTTTGTCGGCGATGTTAATTGGGATGGGATGTTAATGAGATTGTCGAGTAGCTTCTCAACAAATTGTTTTCTGCTCATGCCTTGGGATGTTTCGCTGTAAAGGGTATGTGTTAACCAGCAGAACTTCTGATCAAACGCTCCATCTGCCTGGCCAGGGATGCCTGGATGGGGGTGGGGGGCAGGAAGATTCTTGGAGCTGAAAATTTGAAACTTTTTAAATGGGAAAAGTTGCCTTTTTAAAATGTACAGTGATTTTATTTTTTTTTAAATTTATGAATGTCAATTTTTAATCATGTGTTGATTGTAATGAGTGGAACATTATTAGTGCCTTATGGTTTTACTGTATTGAATGGTTGCTCGGTGATTGCTGCTTCTGCAGGGATGGCTCTGCGCACAGCTTTGCTTACTGTGAAGCTCCGTTGCTCCTTTTTTATTTTCTTTATTTTCAAAGTCTCTTTATTTCTTTCTTGGTGGAGGCGATTCTTGCATCTTTTGCTAACCGTCAAAAAATTTCAGTGCTTGGGAAAACAATGCCATTAAGTGGATGAGGGACCTGAATCCAGTTCTTGTCTCTTCCCATTCCCATTTTTGCCTGTATAATTAGAGCAGGAGACTGAGAATCTCTCATCCTGTTCTCGGAATTATGCTCTGGGGTTAGCGCTCACATCCCAAGCTACTCATTAGCCCCTGTACAAATAGAATCCAAACTCCCTGAAATTTAGTTCCAAAATTGATGGCGGCACCGTTTGCCCCAGCCATGGTGTCTGAGAATCTGTGGTTTCAAATTCCAACCGGGATGAGCTTTTCGGGCGGCCGTCTGGGTGCGAGATAAGCTTCTGCTGGGGGGGGTGGTGGTTGTTGTTGTTTTCCTGGATTTTTTGGTTCATCAAGGTGCTCAGGTGGAGAAAGGTTTTCAATCTGATCGTGTCCAAACTGACTTCACATGAATAAATTTGCTTTGACTTAATCTGGGCTAATTTTTCCGTGTGCTTTGTTCCCCTCTTCTGAACACGGTTCTGCTGAGCGTGCTTCTCCTCCTCCCCGCTCGGCTGCTGTGAGGGCCTGAGCCCTGACCGATGCCGAAACCAAGCCTTCATCCCAGCCTCAAAGGGGGTCGCGTTCCCCCACGCTGCCGTTTGGCACTCGTCCTGGTCAGTCTCACTCACTTTGTGAGAGCTCCCTAGCAGAGGTGCCTGTAAGGGTGTAATTAATGGTCTTAAAGAAGCCAGAACATATACTTGGGTTTCTTTATTTATTTATTTGTTGATCTGCATGTAGAAGTCAGGGGTTCTTCCCATGATATTAATCGTGCCGTGTGGCTGCTGGCCCTGCTGTGCCTTCTCTTCTGTGGCTTGTTTCTTTAAACACAAACCCACGCCTACGCTTAGCTGTGTTTAAATGGACACAGTGGGGAGCTTTGTAATTGTGTTTGTGTTTTATAGTTTACCATAAATGCAGAGTTGAGCGCAATACTGGATCGCTGGAGAAGGCCCTGTGCCTGCACGTTCTGGTCCCTCAACTCCAAGCAGTTTGGTGCTATGATGCTATTCCCCAGAAAAGTAACAATTCATGTTTTTATTCCTTTTCTGTCACTACTTCTTTTCCTCCCTACTCGGGAGAGGCTTTTTTCCAGCCTACTCTGGAAGTACTCTAAGGAGCAGAGATCTGCTTGAGTATTTGAAAATGCTGATGGCAGCAGTCCCCATCACCACCACCATGACTGCGCCCTCCAGAGCTCGATGTTTGGGCAAGCCAAAGTGCAGGAATGTCTTCAGAGCGCAAAGGAAGGGCCTTAGGAACTGGTCTCTGGGCCCATGGCTGCAGCCCAGGGTGTGATGGGCTGTCTGACCGCGCTGGCTGTGAGAGAAAAGCTGTGCCTCAGCCCCACGAGGGTTCTCCGCGTCAAGGAAGGTCCTTGCAATAGATGCCCTCCACACAATGTGACTGCATCCTGGTTTCCTCAGAGGCCCGGAGCCCCGTGGTGCGGACACCTAAGAACTGGATGCTGGGTGGCCCTGGAGAACGTGAGGGCTGCTTGTCCGCACCGCACCCAGCAGGGCAGCCTTTCCCTGCTGCAGGGAACTGGGAGGCGAGGCAGCAGCGTGTTTTAAGGGTTATCGTTTTCTCCCTGAGATAAAAGGAGAAAGCATCTATTTCGAGGTCGTCCCACCGATCTCAGCAGTAGCAGCGGTAGCTGTTCAGGGATGTCTCGCACACGCCGCTGATCCTGTGTTGCTCTTGGGTAATTTTGCCCTGTATCCAGCGGTGGCTGAACTGCCCTGCCAAACCTATTTGCAATTTCTCCCCCCTCCTTTTCTAAGTCGAAGTGCCCGCGGGGATGTTTTGGGTTCTCTGCTGCAGAAGTTTTCTAAGGCACAGCATGCCCACCTTCCTACATCTTTGTGAAGCCTTATCTAATCATCTCAGTAAACAGCCTGCTGCTCTGTGAGGGCTGTAAGTACAAGCTCTTAGGCCGTTTTGTGGGGTTGGATCTGGAGGGGGATGTGTTACGCACAGGCCCACAAAAGCATCTTGGTTCTGTTAAAGCCTTTCTTAGATGGGAGGTGCTTACAGGAATATTTAGAGTAATGCAAAGAGGAGTAATTTGTACTGTGAGTATTCCCTTTGGTTCTCCTGCGCCGGCGATGACGTCTGAGTCCATGTCTGGATCCCCGGAGGTGCTCCTGGAGCGTCTCCTTTGACCTCCTCCGGAACAGCGTCCAGGTGTCTGTGGAAACAAAGCAAAGCAAAACGTGCTCCTGGAGCATGGGAGCAGAGGGCAAGCTTTGTGGCTCTCGTGTTAGCTTTAAGATTACCACCAGGAGAAGGAAGACTTCTGTCTGAGATTACAGAAGCCCAGGTCAACTGCTTGAGGACAACCCATCTTGCTTCTGAGCAGTTTTTAAAGCGGCAGATGGTGGCTGATGAACCTCATTGTGAATTGGTGAAGCCTGTGTCCATCGGTGGTAAGGATAGAAAATCCATCCACCACCACCAGCTCTTGTCCTTGTGGATCACATAAACAACAGTGTAATCCAGAGTGTACCAGCAGAACAACAGCAGAGAAGGGTGAGATTGCTTAGATGTGCTGTTTAAATCTCCCTTCCTTATAATGTGGTAAGCAGAATCCTGGGGTTTCGGTATGGGTTGATTTGTCTGGGCTGCTGGATTCCAACACTAGCTCAGAGCACTCCTACACCCGGAGGGAGAGCTACATCCTCGCTCTTTTTCCCGTTTGTCAGGTGCGACCAGTTTCCAGAAGCTCACTCACCCGGCCCGGAGAGCGTGGCAGAGAAAGACAGAAGCCAGTGCTTGCCTGCGGCGAGCGCGGAAGACGACAAAGCAGTCGGGTTGTAGCTGTGACCGTGCTCTTCAGCTGGAGGGATGGGAGTATCCAAGAGGCAGGTTGAGCTGCTGAGGGGCTGGCTCCACTACCCCTTCCCCTCTTCCTCGGCCTCCTTGCCCTCTGCTGCAACTTCTGCATCCTTCTGGGAATATTAATGTTTTGTCTCTTCCAGCCAGGAGTGGGTTCATCCCAGGACTGCTGTTCCAGGCGTGCCAACGGGCAGGACAGACAGCAACAGGCGGCTGCGATGCCGACCGTTGGGCGCGAAGGAGCTGTCAGGCGAGGAGGGAGGCGAAGGTGGGAGCCCTGCCTGCAGCGGCAGGCACGCGTCAGCACCGGGGCAGCACCCCGCCACCTCTGCGGTGCTGTTCCGCACTCCTGGAGCTCCCCGGGCCCTTTTCCAAACACCGTCGTGGCCCTGTGCGCTTGGGTCAGGGCTGGTTTCCCGGAGGGGAGGAGGAGGGTGGCGAGGGAACACGGACCCGTGGCCCCAGCAGCTGGGTGCCCCCATGGTTCTGAGGGACTCCGGCCTTTGCT